GGGAGGGGGCGTGGCAGAGTGCATTGTAGGGAGCGTGGCAGGAGGCATTGGAAGGGGCGTGGCAGGGGGCATGGGAGGGGGCGTGGCAGAGTGCATGGGAGGGGGCGTGGCAGGAGGCATTGGAAGGGGCGTGGCAGGGGGCATGGGAGGGGGCGTGGCAGGGTGCATGGGAGGGGGCGTGGCAGGGTGCATGGGAGGGGGCGTGGCAGGGGGCATGGGAGGGGGCGTGACAGGGGGCATGGGAGGGGGCGTGACAGGGGGGCATGGGAGGGGGCGTGACAGGGGGCATGGGAGTGGGCGTGGTAGAGGACATGGGAGGGGGCGTGGCAGGGGACATGGGAGGGGGCGTGGAAGGGGGCATGGGAGGGGGCGTGGCAGTGGGCATGGGAAGGGGCGTGGCAGGGGGCATGGGAGGGGGCGTGGCAGTGGGCATGGGAGGGGGCATGGCAGAGGACATGGGAGGGGGCGTGGCAGTGGGCATGGGAGGGGGCGTGGAAGGGGGCATGAGAGGGGGCATGGGAGGGGGCATGGGAGGGGGCGAGGCAGGGGGCATGGGAGGGGGCGTGGCAGTGGGCATGGGAGTGGGCGTGGCAGGGGGCATGGGAGGGGGCGTGGCAGTGGGCATGGGAGGGGGCGTGGCAGGGGGGGCATGGGAGGGTGCGTGGCAGGGGGGGGCATGGGAGGGTGCGTAGCAGGGGGCATGGGAGGGGGCGTGGGTGGAGGCATGGGAAGGGGCGTGGCAGGGGGCATGGGAGGGGGCGTGGCAGAGGACATGGGAGGGGGCGTGGCAGGGGGCATGGGAGGGGGCGTGGCAGGGGGCATGGGAGGGGGCGTGGCAGGGGGCATGGGAGGGGGCGTGGCAGGGGGCATGGGAGGGGGCGAGGCAGGGGGCATGGGAGGGGGCGTGGCAGGGGGCATGGGAGGGGGCGTGGCAGAGGACATGGGAGGGGGCGTGGCAGGGGGCATGGGAGGGGGCGTGGCAGGGGGCATGGGAGGGGGCATGGGAGGGGGCGAGGCAGGGGTCATGGGAGGGGGCATGGGAGGGGGCATGGGAGGGGGCGTGGCAGAGTGCATGGGAGGGGGCATGGCAGGGAGCATGGGAGGGGGCGTGGCAGGGTGCATGGGAGGACGCGTGGCAGGGGGCATGGAAGGGGGCGTGGCAGGGGGCATGGGAGGGGGCGTGGCAGGGGGCATGGGATGGGGCGTGGCAGGGGGCATGGGAGGGGGCGTGGCAGGGTGCATGGGAGGGGGCATGGCAGGGAGCATGGGAAAGGGCGTGGCAGGGTGCATGGGAGGACGCGTGGCAGGGGGCATGGAAGGGGGCGTGGCAGGGGGCATGGGATGGGGCGTGGCAGGGGGCATGGGAGGGGGCGTGGCAGGGTGCATGGGAGGGGGCATGGCAGGGGGCATGGGAGGGGGCGTGGCAGGGTGCATGGGAGGGGGCGTGGCAGTGGGCATGGGAGGGGGCATGGGAGGGGGCATGGGAGGGTGCGTGGCAGGGTGCATGGGAGGGGGCGTGGCAGTGGGCATGGGAGGGGGCGTGACAGGGGGCATGGGAGGGGGCGTGGCAGGGGGCATGGGAGGGGGCGTGGCAGTGGGCATGGGAGGGGGCGTGGCAGGGGGCATAGGAGGGTGCGTGGCAGGGGGCATGGGAGGGGGCGTGGCAGGAAACATGGGAGGGGGCGTGGCAGGGGGCATGGGAGGGGGCGTGGCAGGGGGCATAGGAGAGGGCGTAACAGGGGGCATTGGAGAGGGCATGGGAGGGGGCGTGGCAGGGGGCATGGGAGGGGGCGTGGCAGGGGGCATGGGAGAGGGCGTGGCAGGGGGCGGGCATGGGAGGGGGCATAGGAGGGTGCGTGACAGTGGGCATGGGAGGGGGGCGTGGCAGGGGGCATAGGAGGGTGCGTGGCAGGGGGTATGGGAGGGGGCATAGGAGGGTGCGTGGCAGGGGGCATGGGAGGGGGCGTGGCAGGGGGCATGGGAGGGGGCATAGGAGGGTGCGTGGCAGCGGACATGGGAGGGTGCGTGGCAGCGGACATGGGAGAGGGCGTGGCAGGGGGCATAGGAGGGTGCGTGGCAGGGGGCATGGTAGGGGGCGTGGCAGGGGGCATGGGAGGGGGCATAGGAGGGTGCGTGACAGTGGGCATGGGAGAGGGTATGGGAGGGGGCGTGGCAGGGGGCATGGGAGGGGGCATAGGAGGATGCGTGGCAGGGGGTATGGGAGGGGGCGTGGCAGGGGGCATAGGAGGGTGCGTGGCAGCGGGTATGGGAGGGGGCGTGGCAGGGGGCATAGGAGGGGGCGGAGCAGGGGGCATGGGAGGGGGCGTGGCAGGGGGCAGGGGAGGGGGCGTGACAGTGGGCATGGGATGGGGCGTGGCAGAGGGCATGGAAGGGGACGTGGCAGGAGGCATGGGAGTGGGCGTGGCAGGGGGCATGGGAGGGGGCGTGGCAGTGGGCATGGGAGGGGGCGTGGCAGGGGGGGCATGGGAGGGTGCGTGGCAGGGGGGGGCATGGGAGGGTGCGTAGCAGGGGGCATGGGAGGGGGCGTGGGTGGAGGCATGGGAAGGGGCGTGGCAGGGGGCATGGGAGGGGGCGTGGCAGAGGACATGGGAGGGGGCGTGGCAGGGGGCATGGGAGGGGGCGTGGCAGGGGGCATGGGAGGGGGCGTGGCAGGGGGCATGGGAGGGGGCGTGGCAGGGGGCATGGGAGGGGGCGAGGCAGGGGGCATGGGAGGGAGCGTGGCAGGGGGCATGGGAGGGGGCGTGGCAGAGGACATGGGAGGGGGCGTGGCAGGGGGCATGGGAGGGGGCGTGGCAGGGGGCATGGGAGGGGGCATGGGAGGGGGCGAGGCAGGGGTCATGGGAGGGGGCATGGGAGGGGGCATGGGAGGGGGCGTGGCAGAGTGCATGGGAGGGGGCATGGCAGGGAGCATGGGAGGGGGCGTGGCAGGGTGCATGGGAGGACGCGTGGCAGGGGGCATGGAAGGGGGCGTGGCAGGGGGCATGGGAGGGGGCGTGGCAGGGGGCATGGGATGGGGCGTGGCAGGGGGCATGGGAGGGGGCGTGGCAGGGTGCATGGGAGGGGGCATGGCAGGGAGCATGGGAGGGGGCGTGGCAGGGTGCATGGGAGGACGCGTGGCAGGGGGCATGGAAGGGGGCGTGGCAGGGGGCATGGGATGGGGCGTGGCAGGGGGCATGGGAGGGGGCGTGGCAGGGTGCATGGGAGGGGGCATGGCAGGGGGCATGGGAGGGGGCGTGGCAGGGTGCATGGGAGGGGGCGTGGCAGTGGGCATGGGAGGGGGCATGGGAGGGTGCATGGGAGGGGGCGTAGCAGGGGGCATGGGAGGGGCGTGGCAGGGGGCATGGAAGGGGGCGTGACAGTGGGCATGGGAGGGGCGTGGCAGGGGTATGGGAGGGGGCGTGGCAGTGGGCATGGGAGGGGGCGTGGCAGGGACCATGGGAGGGGGCGTGGCAGTGGGCATGGGAGGGGGCGTGGCAGGGACCATGGGAGGGGGCGTGGCAGTGGGCATGGGAGGGGGCGTGGCAGGGGGCATGGGAAGGGCGTGGCAGGGACCATGGGAGGGGGCGTGGCAGGGACCATGGGAGGGGCGTGGCAGGGGGTATGGGAGGGGGCTTGGCAGTGGGCATGGGAGGGGGCGTGGCAGGGGGCATGGGAGGGGGCATGGGAGGGGGCGTGGCAGGTGTTGGGAAAAACCGACTTCCAATAATAATCTTGGTTGCAATTTGCAGATAATTGCTCTGCTGTTTTTGTACTAATCCATTAACCAATACTAATACAAATTAATTTAGTTAATCATTCAAAGAAAACGGGGTTACAGTGGAATTATCCCTTAAACAAGAGATATTATTGCCATGCTATTAAAATATCAAAATCAAATATAAACTAACAACTTAAAACCTTCAGTCCAGTATTAGAATCAATAACAACTGTTCTCTGTGACTCCATCAAACAAAATAATAATTATAATCAACGCCTCCCAACCATCGTCCATTGATGGGGAGCACATTGAGCCGCTCCTTGAGGCGTCCCTGGACCAGGGGAAGGTAGAGGACGTCATTGTATAACAGGAAGTCTCGTGAGGAAACGTTCTTGGCAGTCACGTTAATACTCCTGACCCGAGCCATCTTTACGTTCTTCTCCTGCCTCAAAATTACGAGAGTATCTCGTATCCCGTTTGTCAAAAATAACCTTCATTTCATTACAGGTCCCTATATGTTATACTTGACAACCGGTGATGAGGCGGCCAGACACCCAAAATTGGATGAGGCTCTCACAATCACGTTACAAATAATAATTTTTGGTGTCATATCTGTGATTAGGAAGGTATTTGCAGTAACTATATTGTATCATTCCGGCAGATCTGCTGTTGCCACCTGCAGAACTTGGCGACATCTACCAGTTGCAACACGTGAGGAGGTATCTACGCCACAGCCACGAAGCCCAGCCCTGGCTGCTTGCCCGCGTGCCCCTCTAGTACCCAGAGTGAAGCCACCAATCAGATAACACTATCAGTCATTTAAACTAACCCCAATAATATTAACAATTAGTATAAATTTTCCTGTCAATCGATACTTCTCGATTGATAGGCTACTACAAATAAACCCCCAACTTGTGTTGAGATGTGACTTGTGGGAGAATTAAAATGATGTCGTCTACTCAATAAATAATACAGTACGCTAAGCTATCGTAAGAAACAAAATAATAATTAAATTTATATTATAAATTAGAATACATTAAGTTAATCAGTTAATTCATAATTAAAATAAATAATAAAACCCAATGAGTCAGAATTCCCCACAGCAGGGGGGCATGGGAGGGGGCATGGGAGGGGGCGTGACCGGGGGCATGGGAGGGGGCGTGGGAGGGGGCGCGGGGTGTGTGGAGGTAAACATCAAGGCCTCAGTAGTTGTTCCCAACACCACGCGTGTGGTTGGGGTCCCTCCCAGCTGCTGTGACCCCTCCCAGCTGCTGTGACCCCTCCCTCCCAGCTGCTGTAACCCCTCCCAGCTGCTGTGACCCCCCTCCCAGCTGCTGTAACCCCCTCCCAGCTGCTGTGACCCCACCCAGCTGCTGTGACCTCTCTCAGCTGCTGTGACCCCTCCCAGCTGCTGTGACCCCCCTCCCAGCTGCTTTGACCCCCTCCCAGCTGCTGTGACCCCCCTCCCAGCTGCTGTGACCTCTCTCAGCTGCTGTGACCCCTCCCAGCTGCTGTGACCCCCCTCCCAGCTGCTTTGACCCCCCTCCCAGCTGCTGTGACCCCCCTCCCAGCTGCTGTGACCCCTACCAGCTCCAGTGACCCCGGCGCCGCCTCCTAGGCCCGTGACGGTGTCTGGGGGGTAACGAACAAATATCTGTGAACACAAACAAATGTCACTTACAAGCCTGCCAAATGCGTTCGTATTCAAATACTTATTTACTTGTAAGAGGGCGGCGTTAAGTAGAGGTTGGCGAGTCACTAATGTGCAACAGGTGTTGCGGGAGGTGTTGCGGCAGCCTGTTGCGGGAGGTGAACCGCGGAGACAGGACCAGAGGTAGTAACATGGAGCCGCATGCGGCCGCTGATGAGCTGGGGACCCATCAGGAGAACCAAGACATCGGATGTGCTCAGGGAGTGGATGCCTCGGGCAGCGTCAAGCCCAGCAGGGTACAGCCGCAGCCGGACATACAGCGCCCGAGAGACCTGGAGCCGGATACGACAGTTGTGCCCCAACAGGACAGGTTCGAGGCTCCTGACGGAGGCTGGGGATGGGTCGTCGCCGCCGGAGTCTTCCTCATAGCCGTAAGTGTAGGGTTGTTTAGTAGCCTTAGTGTAGGGTTGTTTAGTAGTCTTAGTGTAGGGTTGTTTAGTAGTCTTAGTGTATGTAGGGTTGTTTAGTAGCCTTAGTGTAAGGTTGTTTAGTAGTCTTAGTGTATGGTTGTTTAGTAGTCTTAGTGTAGGGTTGTTTAGTAGCCTTAGTGTATGGTTGTTTAGTAGTCTTAGTGTATGTAGGGTTGTTTAGTAGTCTTAGTGTATGTAGGGTTGTTTAGTAGCCTTAGTGTAGGGTTGTTTAGTAGTCTTAGTGTATGTAGGGTTGTTTAGCAGTCTTAGTGTAGGGTTGTTTAGTAGTCTTAGTGTAGGGTTGTTTAGTAGTCTTAGTGTAGGGTTGTTTAGTAGTCTTAGTGTAGGGTTGTTTAGCAGTCTTAGTGTAGGGTTGTTTAGTAGTCTTAGTGTAGGGTTGTTTAGTAGTCTTAGTGTAGGGTTGTTTAGCAGTCTTAGTGTAGGGTTGTTTAGTAGTCTTAGTGTAGGGTTGTTTAGTAGTCTTAGTGTATGTAGGGTTGTTTAGCAGTCTTAGTGTAGGGTTGTTTAGTAGTCTTAGTGTAGGGTTGTTTAGTAGTCTTAGTGTAGGGTTGTTTAGTAGTCTTAGTGTAGGGTTGTTTAGTAGTCTTAGTGTAGGGTTGTTTAGCAGTCTTAGTGTAGGGTTGTTTAGTAGTCTTAGTGTATGTAGGGTTGTTTAGCAGTCTTAGTGTAGGGTTGTTTAGTAGCCTTAGTGTATGTAGGGTTGTTTAGCAGTCTTAGTGTAGGGTTGTTTAGTAGTCTAAGTGTATGTAGGGTTGTTTAGCAGTCTTAGTGTAGGGTTGTTTAGTAGCCTTAGTGTATGTAGGGTTGTTTAGCAGTCTTAGTGTAGGGTTGTTTAGTAGTCTTAGTGTATGTAGGGTTGTTTAGCAGTCTTAGTGTAGGGTTGTTTAGTAGTCTTAGTGTAGGGTTGTTTAGCAGTCTTAGTGTAGGGTTGTTTAGTAGTCTTAGTGTATGTAGGGTTGTTTAGCAGTCTTAGTGTAGGGTTGTTTAGCAGTCTTAGTGTAGGGTTGTTTAGTAGTCTTAGTGTAGGGTTGTTTAGTAGTCTTAGTGTAGGGTTGTTTAGTAGTCTTAGTGTAGGGTTGTTTAGTAGTCTTAGTGTATGTAGGGTTGTTTAGTAGCCTTAGTGTAGGGTTGTTTAGTAGTCTTAGTGTAGGGTTGTTTAGTAGTCTTAGTGTAGGGTTGTTTAGTAGCCTTAGTGTAGGGTTGTTTAGTAGTCTTAGTGTAGGGTTGTTAGTAGTAGTCTTAGTGTAGGGTTGTTTAGTAGTCTTAGTGTAGGGTTGTTTAGTAGTCTTAGTGTATGTAGGGTAGGGTTGTTTAGTAGTCTTAGTGTAGGGTTGTTTAGTAGCCTTAGTGTAGGGTTGTTTAGTAGTCTTAGTGTAGTGTAGGGTTGTTTAGTAGCCTTAGTGTAGGGTTGTTTAGTAGTCTTAGTGTAGGGTTGTTTAGTAGTCTTAGTGTAGGGTTGTTTAGTAGTCTTAGTGTAGGGTTGTTTAGTAGTCTTAGTGTAGGGTTGTTTAGTAGTCTTAGTGTAGGGTTGTTTAGTAGTCTTAGTGTAGGGTTGTTTAGTAGTCTTAGTGTATGTAGGGTTGTTTAGTAGTCTTAGTGTAGGGTTGTTTAGTAGCCTTAGTGTAGGGTTGTTTAGTAGTCTTAGTGTAGGGTTGTTTAGTAGTCTTAGTGTAGGGTTGTTTAGTAGTCTTAGTGTAGGGTTGTTTAGTAGTCTTAGTGTAGGGTTGTTTAGTAGTCTTAGTGTGTAGGGTTGTTTAGTAGTCTTAGTGTAGGGTTGTTTAGTAGTCTTAGTGTAGGGTTGTTTAGTAGTCTTAGTGTGTAGGGTTGTTTAGTAGTCTTAGTGTAGGGTTGTTTAGTAGTCTTAGTGTAGGGTTGTTTAGTAGTCTTAGTGTAGGGTTGTTTAGTAGTCTTAGTGTAGGGTTGTTTAGTAGCCTTAGTGTAGGGTTGTTTAGTAGTCTTAGTGTAGGGTTGTTTAGTAGTCTTAGTGTAGGGTTGTTTAGTAGCCTTAGTGTAGGGTTGTTTAGTAGTCTTAGTGTAGGGTTGTTTAGTAGTCTTAGTGTATGTAGTGTTTAGTTTAGTAGCCTTAGTGTAGGGTTGTTTAGTAGTCTTAGTGTAGGGTTGTTTAGTAGCCTTAGTGTAGGGTTGTTTAGTAGCCTTAGTGTAGGGTTGTTTAGTAGTCTTAGTGTAGGGTTGTTTAGTAGTCTTAGTGTAGGGTTGTTTAGTAGTCTTAGTGTAGGGTTGTTTAGTAGTCTTAGTGTAGGGTTGTTTAGTAGTCTTAGTGTAGGGTTGTTTAGTAGTCTTAGTCTTAGTGTAGGGTTGTTTAGTAGTCTTAGTGTAGGGTTGTTTAGTAGTCTTAGTGTAGGGTTGTTTAGTAGTCTTAGTGTAGGGTTGTTTAGTAGTCTTAGTGTAGGGTTGTTTAGTAGTCTTAGTGTAGGGTTGTTTAGTAGTCTTAGTGTAGGGTTGTTTAGTAGTCTTAGTGTAGGGTTGTTTAGTAGTCTTAGTGTAGGGTTGTTTAGTAGTCTTAGTGTAGGGTTGTTTAGTAGTCTTAGTGTAGGGTTGTTTAGTAGTCTTAGTGTAGGGTTGTTTAGTAGTCTTAGTGTGTAGGGTTGTTTAGTAGTCTTAGTGTAGGGTTGTTTAGTAGTCTTAGTGTAGGGTTGTTTAGTAGTCTTAGTGTAGGGTTGTTTAGTAGTCTTAGTGTAGGGTTGTTTAGTAGTCTTAGTGTAGGGGTTGTTTAGTAGTCTTAGTGTAGGGTTGTTTAGTAGTCTTAGTGTAGGGTTGTTTAGTAGTCTTAGTGTAGGGTTGTTTAGTAGTCTTAGTGTAGGGTTGTTTAGTAGTCTTAGTGTAGGGTTGTTTAGTAGTCTTAGTGTAGGGTTGTTTAGTAGTCTTAGTGTAGGGTTGTTTAGTAGTCTTAGTGTAGGGTTGTTTAGTAGTCTTAGTGTAGGGTTGTTTAGTAGTCTTAGTGTAGGGTTGTTTAGTAGTCTTAGTGTAGGGTTGTTTAGTAGTCTTAGTGTAGGGTTGTTTAGTAGTCTTAGTGTAGGGTTGTTTAGTAGTCTTAGTGTAGGGTTGTTTAGTAGTCTTAGTGTAGGGTTGTTTAGTAGTCTTAGTGTAGGGTTGTTTAGTAGTCTTAGTGTAGGGTTGTTTAGTAGTCTTAGTGTAGGGTTGTTTAGTAGTCTTAGTGTGTAGGGTTGTTTAGTAGTCTTAGTGTAGGGTTGTTTAGTAGTCTTAGTGTAGGGTTGTTTAGTAGTCTTAGTGTAGGGTTGTTTAGTAGTCTTAGTGTAGGGTTGTTTAGTAGTCTTAGTGTAGGGTTGTTTAGTAGTCTTAGTGTAGGGTTGTTTAGTAGTCTTAGTGTAGGGTTGTTTAGTAGTCTTAGTGTAGGGTTGTTTAGTAGTCTTAGTGTAGGGTTGTTTAGCAGTCTTAGTGTAGGGTTGTTTAGTAGTCTTAGTGTATGTAGGGTTGTTTAGCAGTCTTAGTGTAGGGTTGTTTAGTAGTCTTAGTGTATGTAGGGTTGTTTAGCAGTCTTAGTGTAGGGTTGTTTAGTAGTCTTAGTGTATGTAGGGTTGTTTAGCAGTCTTAGTGTAGGGTTGTTTAGTAGTCTTAGTGTATGTAGGGTTGTTTAGCAGTCTTAGTGTAGGGTTGTTTAGTAGTCTTAGTGTATGTAGGGTTGTTTAGCAGTCTTAGTGTAGGGTTGTTTAGTAGTCTTAGTGTAGGGTTGTTTAGCAGTCTTAGTGTAGGGTTGTTTAGTAGTCTTAGTGTAGGGTTGTTTAGTAGTCTTAGTGTAGGGTTGTTTAGTAGTCTTAGTGTAGGGTTGTTTAGTAGTCTTAGTGTAGGGTTGTTTAGTAGTCTTAGTGTAGGGTTGTTTAGTAGTCTTAGTGTAGGGTTGTTTAGTAGTAGTTAGTAGTAGTCTTAGTGTAGGGTTGTTTAGTAGCCTTAGTGTAGGGTTGTTTAGTAGTCTTAGTGTAGGGTTGTTTAGTAGTCTTAGTGTAGGGTTGTTTAGTAGTCTTAGTGTAGGGTTGTTTAGTAGTCTTAGTGTAGGGTTGTTTAGTAGTCTTAGTGTAGGGTTGTTTAGTAGTCTTAGTGTAGGGTTGTTTAGTAGTCTTAGTGTAGGGTTGTTTAGTAGCCTTAGTGTAGGGTTGTTTAGTAGTCTTAGTGTATGTAGGGTTGTTTAGTAGCCTTAGTGTAGGGTTGTTTAGTAGCCTTAGTGTAGGGTTGTTTAGTAGTCTTAGTGTAGGGTTGTTTAGTAGTCTTAGTGTAGGGTTGTTTAGTAGTCTTAGTGTAGGGTTGTTTAGTAGTCTTAGTGTAGGGTTGTTTAGTAGTCTTAGTGTAGGGTTGTTTAGTAGTCTTAGTGTAGGGTTGTTTAGTAGCCTTAGTGTAGTGTAGGGTTGTTTAGTAGCCTTAGTGTAGGGTTGTTTAGTAGTCTTAGTGTAGGGTTGTTTAGTAGTCTTAGTGTAGGGTTGTTTAGTAGTCTTAGTGTAGGGTTGTTTAGTAGTCTTAGTGTATGTAGGGTTGTTTAGTAGTCTTAGTGTAGGGTTGTTTAGTAGTCTTAGTGTATGTAGGGTTGTTTAGTAGTCTTAGTGTAGGGTTGTTTAGTAGTCTTAGTGTAGGGTTGTTTAGTAGTCTTAGTGTATGTAGGGTTGTTTAGTAGCCTTAGTGTAGGGTTGTTTAGTAGTCTTAGTGTAGGGTTGTTTAGTAGTCTTAGTGTAGGGTTGTTTAGTAGCCTTAGTGTAGGGTTGTTTAGTAGTCTTAGTGTAGGGTTGTTTAGCAGTCTTAGTGTAGGGTTGTTTAGTAGCCTTAGTGTATGTAGGGTTGTTTAGCAGTCTTAGTGTAGGGTTGTTTAGTAGCCTTAGTGTATGTAGGGTTGTTTAGTAGCCTTAGTGTAGGGTTGTTTAGTAGTCTTAGTGTATGTAGGGTTGTTTAGTAGCCTTAGTGTAGGGTTGTTTAGT